CCCCCGACTGCGTTGCCTGCCCCCCCCCCCCCCCCCCCCTTCTGTCCCTAACGTGTATTTGGACGGTGTGTCCTACCTGAGCCCATTGGGAGCCCAGCTCCTCCACGTGAGCACCGACGGTGCGGGCTGGCACGTCGACGGCCGGCGGTGAGCGCCGGCCTTTCTCCTTCCTGTTCGCTTCTTCCCCCCCCGCTCGCTCCCCCCCCCTCCCATGGCGGCGGCGCCCGGCACTGCGCGGCTTCGGCCCGGTGCCAGGCGCTGCACCTTGCCGCCTCGGCGGCCCCGCTCGCCATGGCGCTGCGCGGCTCAGGCGCGGCCCTTGGCAGTGCGGACGTCAGCGCATTGTGTGTGGCTGCTGCCCGTCTTCGCGCGCTGGCGATGCAGAGCAGGTTTTTTCCCTGCAGCCCACCGACTTCCTGTTGGTCATGGACGGTTCTGTCGTTTGAGGCCGCACCTCAAGCTACGCTGCTACCTGGTCGTGGATGGGACTACCACCCTGGGCCTCCTCCGCATCATCTGGTGGCACAACGTTGCTCATCGACTCCGTGGTGCTCTTGTTCCTCCTGGGCGTCGACCTGGTCAAGTGGCGCGTCCTCCCCTGCAGTGCTTGGGCTGGTGTTCGCGATGTGCCGTTGACGGCAGCGCCGTTTCCTTCGCCTTCCGGGTCTTCGCCCTCGGTCCCTGTCCGCGGCGTATCTTTTCCTGAGCATCCATGTCGGCGCCGCCTGCACCCCGGGCCCCGCCCGCTCCGGCCGCCTGAGGCCCCGCTTTCTTGTGCCCTGTCTCCCTAGTTCAAGCTGTGCGTAGCCCGCCTAGCTTTATCGGAAGAGGTTCGCTCTCGCCCCGCAAATCAAAGTGAGTGTGTGTGTGTGTGTGTGTTTGTGCGATGGTGCAGGCCTTGCTGAGGGCGACGCCTGCGTAGCTCTATCGCTTCGCTGCGCGCTCTTTAGGCGCGCGCGTCTCTGGGGGACATCCCGACGCATGGTGCGGGCGCTGTCCCCTAGGTGGTGGGAGTTTGCGGATAGGCTCACTGGTGCGATCATCCCACTGTCACAGAGAGGCTGCCGCGGCCGTTGCCGCGCCTGCCGACTTTCCAAGCGCAGCTGTCGCAACCGTGGAAATAAGATCGTATGGAAAACGCAAACGTTGACTTGATATAGAGTGCGCGGTCTGGGAAGGTGGCAGGGAGTTCGGTAATTGGAATCGCCGTCTGCGCTGGGTCCCAGAGTCCCCGAGTAGGCTTAGCGCCGCCATCGCCATTGTATTCCCGCTTCCGCACATGTATCAAGACTTTGGCCTGATGTTGCCTGGCGCGGTTGCGACTGCGTCCGCGGTTGCTCCCAGGTTGGATCTGGGCCGTGGCATGCAGGGCATGGAGTTAGGAGGAGGGAGGGCGATGAGGAAAAGGAGGAGGAAGAGGAGGAGGGGGGGGAGGAGGAGGATGGAGGCATCGGCAACCAGCGGAAGCTCGTGGACTCGGCGAGTGCATGTTGGCGACCCCCTTCGCAGGGCTCGTGTCTGACCGTGCTCCACCTGTCCAATAGTGCTTGGCCGCGCTGGGGGACAATTGCAAGAAACCCGCCCATGAGATGCGCGCCAGATTTTTCGTGGAGGACCCTAGGCCAAGCGGCAGGAGGACCAGTCATGGGGCGCAGGGTGGTTGTGGCAGTTGTGGCAGCTCTTCCCGTTGTTTTATTTATCAATTCAGCTGGATACATACCGCTTCGCAGCCGATGGGTAATTCGGATTGGGCGCTTCGCCATCAACGACGGTGGATATATTGTACATCGTGAGCAGGAGTCGTATCCTTGAAGCGGACCAGATCTATCGCACAGGAACCTCCAGAGAAAACGGTTCGTCCACAAAGGGGCGCGTATGTACTCTTGGCACCGTTTGGCAGCATTGACTTCCCCTCGCCAATAGCGCATTTAGGATTCACCTGCGCCGTGCATCCGGTAAACTTGCTTGGGAGATGCGCCATAGCAGCCACTGGGTACGAAGGAAGGAGATGATTGCTCTGACGATGATCGCGGCAAAACGCTTGTAGGACAATGGCGCGTCCATGGTGCAAAATCGCAGTGGTTTCCGCGACGCAGTAGGCCGAGGGATCTTTCGTCAAATTCGTGGAGACGGACCGCGTCACAGACCTCGCGAGGCCTGTGCCTGGTGCGCACGCAAAGCCTGGTGATCTCGATCTGCAGATGGACCCAGGAAACGATCTGAAAGCATGACGCGCACGTGAAGATCGGCCCATATTTGCTAAGGCCAAGTAAGTGCATCTTGTGACAGTGTGGGAGAATGGGGGACGCTAGCGCGACAGGCATGTTTCAAGGCTTCGGGGATTCTGGTCACTTGCGGGTCGATGGCCCACGTGCTGACCTAGAAGGCCATTCGAGGATTTCTCGCGCTGCCGCGTTTGGGTAATCTGTGCAGCAATGCCGTAGGGTTGCACGGCTGCTGCCTAGTGCGGTTGCCGCTTGGGGACCCTTCTGTGGCTTTTTGAAGCTCCTTGTGGGCTCTTCGGGCGCTTCTAGGTTTTTTGTTGGTATCTTGGGTCCTTTTTGTGTGGTCTTGGGAACGTATGCGTGTTCTTGAGGCTATCTTGGGCTGCTTCGGGGGTTCTTGGGCCGTCTCAGGCTAGACTTGGGCACTCTTGGGGCCCTCTTGGGGCGGTCCTGTGCCGTCTTGGTGTCGTGTTTGGGAATGCTCTGAGTCTCCTTGGAACCGATTGGCGGCATTTTGGGAGGGTCTGCTGGATTGCTTGGGCGAAGTTCGGAGAGGCCCGACGGCCGCCTGAGGGGTTGATGGAGGCACCTTCAAACTTTGCTGGGTCTGTCGCCTCCTCTGCCCTCCTCGTCCTCCCCTCTTGGCCGCGCTGCCCTGCTTTTTACTGGAGAGGCCAGGGACACCCGCTCCCGCTCCATTTACGGGCCGTTCTGCTTCTTCTTCTTCTTCTTTTTCTTTTGCTTCTTTCTCTTTTCCCCTACCTAGGCTCTGCCTAGAAGGGTTCTTCCTCTGTTGGCTTAAAGGGGCCGGGCAGTGCACACCGCCCCGGGCGGTTCCCCCAGTCCCCTGGGACCAAAGCAAAAGCAACAGCAAAGGTAAAAGCAAACGCGCGGTTCCCCCAGTTGCGCTCCCTGGGTGCCACGCAAAAGCAAAAGCAGCGGCAAACGTGAAGGCAAAAGCGAAGGCAAAGTAAACACATAGCATAGCATAGCATATCATAGCATAGCATAGCATAGCGCAGCATAGCATAGCGCAGCATAGCATCGCATAGCCTAGCCTAGCCTAGCCTAGCCTAGCCTAGCCCAGCATAGCATTGCGCAGCATAGCATAGCATAGCATAGCATAGCATAGCATAGCATAGCATAGCATATCATATCATAGCATAGCATAGCATATCATATCATAGCATAGCATAGCATAGCATAGCATATCATATCATAGCATAGCATAGCATAGCATATCATATCATAGCATAGCATAGCATAGCATAACATAGCATAGCATAGCATACCATAGCATAGCATAGCATACCATAGCATAGCATAGCATATAATGTTGCTTTCCTAGAGGCTCCAACTCCCAGGTAGGGTCGCACTGGGATAATTCTTCTATTACTCTTCTTCTCTCTCACTCTTCTCGTCCCTTGCGTTTAGGGTCGCAACCCGCGCGCCCCGCGCGGCGAGGTGGATCTGGGGATCTCGGCGACGATCAACATATTCCTGAGCACCTGCGTGGAGATGGCCGGCCTGGTGCTGGCCACCTTTCTCAGCAAGGCTCTGGCCCGCTTCGCCTGGCTGTGCCCGTGCCTGTTCTTCTCCTCTTGTGCCAGTTTTTGGCCCTGGTCCTTCTTGATGCACACGCTCCCGCGCTCCTCCTCACCGTCCTTACAGGGGCCCAGGGCGGCATGTCCCACTACATCCGTCAGAAGCAATGAAGTCGACGCTGCCACTGCTCCTGGGGCTCCTTGAGGGCCTCTTGGGCCGTTTGAAGGGCATCTTGGGCGTCTTGGGGTCCTCTTGGACCGTCTTGGGGGCCAGTTGAAACCTCTGGGGCCGTGATCGCGCCCTCTGGCCTCTGGGAATATCATCCGAGGCCCCACAACATTCACGCGACCAGCCCTACATGCTACGCGAGCGGACCGAGTCAGTTGTGGCTCTGGACCCTGGGCTCCCAAAAAGGGTATTACAATTCTGGATGCAGAGGACTCCAGAAGGACCTCAGGCCACTCAACTCAGTACTTACGGCACGGTGGCGGATTATGAGAGGGGGGGTCGGAGTGGGCGGGGCCCGCTCTGACGCCCGAATTGTCTACCTTGACTCCGTGTCTAAATCCTTCATTCGTATATACTCCTTCTTGGCTACCTATCTGGCCGATAGCAACCGTATCCGGGTGGTTCCACGCTACCTCTGAATATTCTGGCGACGGGCCCAACCATATGCAGGCGTGAGTACCGCAAGGCAGGTAGGGCGAATGACGGGGAAGTCCCTATGGGGCCGAGAAGCGTGTGATGGGTGTGCCCAAATTGAGAGGCGGCGCCGCCTTGCAGACCTTCAGCTCCCTATGGGGCCACGAAACGTGTGAGGGGTGTGCCGACATGAGGCGGCGAAGCCTTGCGGACCCTGGCATGTGGGCGTTAGCTGGGGCCCCCTAATGGGCCACGAGACGTGTGAGGAGTGTGTCGACATGAGGCGGAAACGCCGTGCGGACCCTGGTATTTGCGTTTTTCCCATGACGCAGCAAGGCGCGCAGCGCGCCCCGATCTGCTCTTGCGAACTGCGGCGGGCACCGAGCCCACTTGACTCGGCTCTGGAGGCAGGCAAGCGGCCAAGCCTCTCCAGGCTGCTCGACGCAGGCTCGCCAGGCGCCTGCACGCGATGGGGCTCCGAGAGACGAGCCTCACGCACAGGCGTCCGCTCATGAGAGTGGCCTTCCGCTCTGGGGTTCACTCCCCTCATGAACAGTTGGCCTTCCGCCACTTGCTTCTCTCAGCCTCCTTGGTCTTGGCCTCCTCGCAAGCCGTCCCGAGGCCGCGATACTTGCCCTTGATATCCTTGGCATGCTGCCCACACCTCACGCACACCTTGTGGCCGTAGCAGGTGCGCAGCTGGTGCCCACTCTCGCCCTCAGCGTCCAGCGAGCCAGACCCGTTGGGGGCATCGGCCTTCCTCGTGCCTCTGCTTGTGGCGCTGGTCCCGATCCTGGCTCTTCCGTGTCCTGCACTGGCGGAACCCCTTCGGCCCGAGTTTCAGGGCTGGCTGCGCGTCACCAGCACCGCCAGGCAGGACGCGTACACCAGGGCCAGTCGAGCCCATGAAGACGTCGAACTCGGCCTCGTCGGTCTCCTCTGGCGCCTCCGCTGCTGAAGGGTTACCTCCTTCTGCACCTCTGCCTGCGCCTGACGCGGCCGCGGGCTTCTGAGCCGCCGCCGGCTGCTCTGGCGGGATAGTGGCCTGCTCCAGCTCGTTGGCGACGGCCTGGAGGCTCTCGAGGACGTCGGTAAGGGTGGCGTTCACGGTGGGACTTCTGCGAGTTTGGTCATGAGCTGCGTAGCGTTGATGCTTCCCGCTGTGGCGCCGTAAAGCTTGGCGGTCTCCTTCTTCGCGTGCACCAGCTCCTTCTCCAGCCTCGCGATGTCGCTCTCTGCCTCCGCCGCCGGCGCCTGCGCCTTGAGAACCTTCTCCTTATTGTTAACCAAGCGGTCCTTCGCGTTTTGCAGGAAGAGATCAGCTTTGTCAACGGCCTGGGGAGCTTCGCGCCCAGCAGTGCCCAGCACCCCAGCAGCAGCAGGGCGCCGAACGCACTCCACCTTGGCCCGAGAACGGTTGAGGGCACCCGTGTATTTCTCGAAGGCGATGTTGGGGAGCTCAGCCCCCTCCTGCAACGCACTGGGACTGAGCGTGGCCCCTCATTGGAGACTGCGGAGCATGCCGAAGAGCCGATGCCGCTGGCCGCTTCGCTGGCCCTTTTACCAGGAGCGAAGGCCTTCTTCGCTTCGGGCCTCGCGATGAGCTGGCGGGCGCCCTCCGAGTCGTTCCCAGCGCGAAGGCGCCTCAGCCAGTGAGTCGCCTGCGCGCCTTCGACATTGTCCTTCACCTTGACCATCTCGTGTTTGGTGAGAGCGACCCTCGGGATGGCGTTCGGGTGCTCCGTGCAACTGCCGAAGTTGTCCTCAAGCGTGCCGTGGCCGTTGACCCTTAGCGCCTTGCGGCCTTGGCCGCCCAGCTCGCCGAACTCATCCAGGGTCGAGCCGAACGCCCAGTCCTGATAAATGGGGGCCGTCACCGTCAAGTGGTTCAACTCTGCTCGCGCCTGCTGCTGCCACGCGACTTGGCCGCCGCCCGTGCCAGCGCTGGCCCACCAAAACGGTCTGTCGTGGTCGGCCTCCCCCTGCTTCGCCAGCAGGCGGCGGAGCCGCCCGTGGATGCGCACCATCGCCCCCCGAAGCCCGGTTGGCCTCAACCCGCCGACAGACTTAGGGAAGATGGCTCTCTCCGTGGCGAAGTGAGGCCACTCGCCGAAGCCGAAGCTCTCGAAGCGGACAACGAGGTCGAAAAACTCCTCGATGCCCTTGTCGTCCAGCGGCTGCAGCTCGCGCGGCCTGAGGGAGTCGAAGGCCACTCCTGTGCCCTTCCTGAAGCTGACGACGGCCTGCCTTGCCTCGTCGATCGCAGGCCTCCTGCTGTTGTCCGCCTCCTGCTGAACCATGCAGTCCGCAACTCTGGTCGCGAAGGGGCTGCCGATGTTGAGTGCATGCCTCGTGGTCACCAGCTCCTCGAAAATATCCTCAGCGCCCTGACCGTTCTCGGCGGCCCTCGGGACGTTGAGCGCGCCCTGGATGCTCGACTGCGCTAGCTCGTGGGGCTCCTGGTTGTCGTCCCCTCCTATGGTGATGGGCTCGCCGATCTGCTAGGTAGTGGTACATACGTCTGCATCACCTCGTAGCTGAATCCTGAGAGGTCGTCACTGGCCTTGTTGCCGAAAACTGGCTCGACAAGTCAGCCACCAAAGGGTAGGCCCTGCAGGTGAATGTGTTCCGTCTTCTCCCGCTGCAGGACGCTGACCAAGACCCCCTCTTCCGAACAAGGTCCTGGACCTTGACGATCCGCACCACGGCTTGACCACTCTGTGCCGGCGTGGAGCTCTCCGCGCGTGTCATCAGCGCGGCTGTTCTCAGGCGGAGCCCCTCGGCCCGACTTCCAGGGCTGGCTGCACGTCGCCAGCACGGCCTCTTCACCTCCATGCCCTTCGCTGTCGGAACTCCTCGGCCCGAGTTCCAGGACTGGCTGCGCGTCACCAGGACGGCCAGGTAAGACATGTCACCGCAATTCAACTTCCGAAGGAACACCTGCTTCCTGCGTGCTCTCTTCCTTTGCCTCCAGCCGATTCTCTCCTCCCGAGTTCCGCAGGACTCGAGTCTCAGCCTTCCCTGGCGCAGGTGAGTCCAGCAACAAAGACGGAGTACACTGCCGCCGACGACCCCTTGCTAATACAAGGCCGTTGATCCACCTCCTCCACGCCCTGTGCCTGGCACTTGTCATGGCGGCCTCCCAGCTCTGCTGGCTGCTGAGCGAGCCGACCCTGGCCAGGATCTCCCTGCGACAGGGCTGCCCTCGCCTCCCTGCGCTGGCGCAGCACTCAGTTTCCATCTGCTGCTCCGTTGTGAGGCCAGTCGAAGCGCTCGTGCGGGAAAGTCTTCGACACGTGGGGCTCGCACCGCGTGAGTCCTTCCCGTCCTCCGCATCGGACTCCTCTCCGAGCCAGGGGCCCTGGATCCGCCTCTTCCCCCACCTGGTGTCCCCCGTGATCAGCTCCGGGGGCTGGGCTCCTGTCGGCCCGCTGGAGCTCCACAGTGATCCCCGCGGCGTGGGTCTCGGCGGCTCGCCCGGGAGCGAGCTCAGGTCCGCCCTCGATCTCGTGAGCTCCGAGCCCCTGCGCACGCGGCGCCAGCTGGCGTTGCCCGCCGTGGCCGTGGGCCCCGGACCCCGTGATGCCCTCGGGGCATGCCGACGCATGCCCCCCCCCGCTCAAACGACTCATCGGTTCCCTCGCCGCACTCGGTCTGCGAGAGGTGTGCCTCCTGAACTGCTATCGTGTCGCTCACCGCGCTGCTGCGCTGCAGCAGCGCCTCGACCATGCTGCAGCTGGCGTTGATGGTCAGTGCCAACCACCTTCGGCTCCTCCTCGCACTATGCTCCGGTAGCCTTGGCCCGCTCTGCTGCGCACAGGGTCTCGATGGCGCCGACAATGCGCGTGCGCTCCTCGTCGTCCCCGCATGCGCCCAGCAGGCCCTCAGGGTCAGCAGAGCCCATGAAGACAGTCGAACGTCGCCGCTTCGTCGATCTCCTCTGGTACCGGTGCCTTCGCTGCTGCTGAAGTTTTTGGAGCTCCTCCTCCTGCGCCTTTGCCTGCGCCTGGCGCGGCGGCAGGCCGCTGGGCTGTAGGCAGGCCCTTGAGGAAGTCGGCCAGCGAAATGTCCTTGGTGGGGATCGCCGCGAGGTTGGTCTTGAGCTGCTTGACGTCGATACTCCCCGCAGTGGCGCCGTAGAGGTTGGCGGCCTCTTGCTTCGTGTGCTACAGCTCCTTCTCCAGCCTCGCGAGTTCGCTCTCTGTGTCCGCCACCGCTGCCAGCGCCTTGAGAACCTTCTCCTTCTTGCTCGCCAAATTGGTCCTTGGCGTTGTCGCCTCAGGAGCTTCGTGCCCAGCAGCGCCCAGTACGCCAGCAGCAGCAGCAGCAGCAGCAGCAGCAGCAGCAGCAGCAGCAGCAGCAGCAGCGCGCGCCTAGCATTCTCCACCTTGTACCGAGAAGAGTTGGACATGGCGCCCCCGGTCTTCTCGAATACCTCGCTGGGGAGCTCTGCCCAAGCCTGGACCTCGCTAGGGCTAAGTGTGGCACCCGAGGAAGGCTGCGGGCTGCTGCTTTCCGAATGCAACCATGCTTTCTGCTGCCCTTGGTTCCATTGCTTCGCCCACTTGTTGCCACCGACCCAGAAGGCGGCGCCTGTCGGCGAGCCTGTGCTCCAGGTTTTACGAGGCTCCCGCGTTGCCCCGCAGTCTCCGCACGTCCAAAGGCCCTTGGATGTGAACACCCCGCAACTGCACTTCCAGTAATCAGCCATAGCGAAGCGCACAGACCGAGCACAAGTTGCACAACCAAAGAGTGGGGGCTCCAGCTTGACGCACACTGGTGCGAAGCAATGAAAATGTTGAGGGCGAGCCGCGGACTAGCGGCATCCACTTGGTTCACATGAGAACCTTGCATCTTGAGCCCAAACGGATACGGAACGGTATTGGGGCCTCAGTTGGAGCTCCTTGTGGGGCCGTGAAACGTCTTAGTGGCGTGCCGACATGGGGAGGTGCCGGTACAGTATGCGGACCCTTGAATTTGGGGCTTCAGTTGGAGTTCCTTACGGGGCTACGATGCGTGTGAGGGGTGCGCCGCAAGGAAGCGGTGACGCCATGCGGACCCTGGGCCTGGATTGGAGTTCCCCATGGGGCCACGCACCGTATGAGGGGTGTGCCGAAATGAGGCGGCGACGCCATGCGGACCCTGGCACTTGGGCCTTAGCTGGAGCTCCCTATGGGGCCACGGGACGTGTGAGGGGTGTGTCGACATGAGGCTGCGACGCCATGCGGACCCTGGTATTTGAGCCTTAGTTGGAACTCCCTATGGGGCTGCGACGCGTATGAGGGGTGTGCCGAAGTGATGCTGCGACGCCATGCGGACCTTGATATCTGGGCCTTAGTTGGAGCTCCCTACCGGGCCACGACGCGTGTGCGGGGAGTGCCTCAATGAGGCGGCGACGCCATGCGGATCGTGGCATCTGGGCCTTAGCTGGAGCTTCCTATGGGGCCACGAAGCGTGTTAGGGGTGTGTCGACGTGAGGCGGCGATGCCATGCGGACACTGGCATTTGGGCCTTGGCTAGAGCTCCTTATTAGGCCACGACGCGTGCGATGAGTGTGCCGAACTGAGCCTGCGACGCCATGCGGGCCCTGGTATTTGGGCCGTAGTTGGGGCTACCTATGGTGCCACGAAGCATGGGAGGAGACGACTATGAGGACATGTGGCGGGCAGGGGCAGGGATGGGAGGAGGGAGGGAGGGAGGGAGGGAGGGAGCGGGGAGGAGAAGGAAGGAGGAGAACGCGGGGCGCCGCCTCCCCAAAGAGCCGACCCAACACCACAGGATAGCTGGAACAAAACCAATGCAGCGTCGACATGTTTGCTTTCAACATTGACGTTGTGTCTTCCACGTTGCAGCGTGCGTGGCAAGTATGGGACGGGGCACACATCCTGCGCGAAAGGCCGACGTGTCGCTCTCGCCTCGGCGCCGCGTTCATTTTTCTAGAGAGTCGAGCTCCCCCTGGGGCGTGGCACACATTCTTCGCACGCCACTTCGTCGACGAGCGAGCCGACGAACATGTCGCTCTCGCCGCGGTGCCGCGTAGATTTCGCTTGAGAATGTCGTTCCCGCTTCGGCGCGGCGCGTATTTGACACTTGCCAAGTTTTGGGGCCCCGCGCGAGTGGGTGACTTGTCGCCCTCGCCCGAGCTCCGTGTGCATTTGGGTCGGAAGTGGCGTTCCCACGTGAGCGCGGCGCATGGCTCGTTCGCCGAACCGCCTGAAAGCGACAGGGGCGGCGAATGCCTACGTCGCCCAAGCGCTGCGCAGGTTTTGAGTGAACGTGGTCGTGCTGTATCGGCGCGGCGCATGCTTCGTCGCCGCCGCGCTCATTGGAAGCTT